GACAAAGCAGAAGCACAATTGGGAGACAGGAACAGAGCATTGTCACTTTATGACAGGAAGGCATGAACAAGGACCCTTATGGCAGGATCACCAGGTGTTATTTTAATCAAAGCAATAGATCTAAAAATACTGAAAATAACTTTTGAAATTATATTATTTAGTTTATTTATTACATGTATTTATATAGCACCAACAATTTAGGCAGCGTTTGGCATTCTGCAATGGCAGCTAAGCACAATCTACTGTATAAAGGTATCAAATGTGAAAAATACCTAGGCCAATAGTAAATCCAAATCACTAGCTACAGTAGTAATGCACTAACTGGGGTCACGGTGACTTAAAGCAACCAGTTCTTGAGGGAATTGGTTCTTGTCCCCCTCTCCAATGAACCAAAGTCAAGTTGCTGTATCTGCCCCTTTACCACAGTGTAGTTACTGATCAGATGCCATTGTTCTTCTTCTTCCCTTTAGCTTTAATTTTAAAGATATTTTAGCAATTCATCCAGGTGGGCACTTTCTACAGCTACAGAGAAAAGGATTAGCATTATCACTAAGTGGTAAGGAACCTGTAAGGAAGCAACACAAGCAACAAAATATCACTTTCCTGAATCGGAGCACTGTGGGCTGTTGTTTTGTCCCACGTTTAAAAAATGCAAAAACATGCTCTTATGAACACCTTATTTTTAAGCACTGAATTTCAACCATTATCTGAACTGTTAAAATTATGAATCATACAATACATTATTTACCTGCTAATCCCCTTTATTATAAATGTTCATTTAAAAGCTTACATTGCAAAACTTTGCAATTCCTAATATCTTTCAGTAATGAACTCAATAACACATAAAACAGAATAAGAAATAAGCCATGAGCCTTATTTGTAGTTTTGCAATAAATAGTCGATTGCATAGTGAATATGAATGTGTTCCACAATATATGAAACGCGTTAATATTTAATGCAGGGAAGGTTTTATGCAGAAATTAAATTAGCTTAAAAGAGAAGGAAGCAGCAGCTGCATAATTAATGGTTCCTGTTATTAGAACTGCCGCATTTATGATTATAATGTTACGTCCTGAAATGTGACATTGTAATTACTTGTTGCATTCTGCTTGTTTGTTATAGCCATAGAGAAGGAAAATTACAATTTGATTGTTAAAGAATGTAAAAGTTTATTAGAAACCATATCGTAATTAGCTACTAAAATGTAGTTTCTAACATGCAATAAAGGCAAAAATAACAAAACGGTATAATATTGCACTGTATGACTAAAACCACTTTCCTTCTTGCTATTTTGAAGACTAACAGCAATCTGTAAAAATGTATGAGAAACAGAACAGTATCTCTCATTTAATTATTATCTATGCCTAGTCAGTGGCTGATCGGAAGGGGGGGCAATGGGGCAATTGACTCCCTCCACCACTCTGCCGGGCTGGGCCAGCCGCACCAAACAATCAGGGCCCAAAAGCAGAATCTGCACTGTAGTCAAGCAAATTAGGGGGCCACCTCAGCCCATGCTGGAGCCTTGTAGCTCCCTAATTTGTCTAAGTAGAGAGCCGCCCAAGGCTAGCAGTGGCGGCAGCGGTGGAAGGATCGCAGGGGGGAGAGCTCAGGTGAGCTCTATACCCCGGGGGAAAAGGGGGAGAGCCAGGAGGTCAGTGGACAACGAGGTGGTGTTGGGAGAGGAGAGAGGTGGGCGCAGTGGCAGGGAAAGAGATGGAGGGGGGTCAGTGCACACAGAGGTGGTGGTGGGGGAAGAGAGACCTGGGCCCAGTGCCAAAGGCAAGCACTGAGCTGGGATGTGAGGTCAGGTGAGGTCTATAGCCCATAGCTAGGATTGGAGGTCAGGTGAGCTCTGTACTCCATAGCTGGCATGGTGTGTCAGATGAGCTCTGTACCCCACAGCTGGGATTGGAGGTCAGGTGAGCTCTGTACCTCATAGTTGAGATGAGAAGTCACGTGGGCTCTGTACCTCATAGCTGGGATTGAAGGTGAGGTTA